AGACGTAACGTAAGACGTAACGTAAGACGTAACGTAAGACGTAACGTAAGACGTAACGTAAGACGTAACGTAAGACGTAACGTAAGACGTAACGTTAGACGTAACGTTAGACGTAACGTAGGACGTAACGTAAGACGTAACGTTAGACGTAACATTAGACGTAACGTAGGACGTAACGTAGGACGTAACGTAAGACGTAAAGTAAGACGTAACGTAAGACGTAACGTAAGACGTAACGTAAGACGTAACGTAAGACATCGCACAGTGCTTATTGTTGGCAGTACTGAGGTAATGTGGAATTGAGATGCAACAGGTGGTCGCGGCGACATGACGCTCTGGCCCCCCGCGCGCAGCCCGTGTGGTAGAAACTGGTTCGTTTAAAAACCTGAAAATTCAGACTAACTTTCTCAGACTTTGCTGTCTGAAGGGGGTTTTCACACAATTTTGTCTCTCTCGGCAGGCCTAGGTAGACGTATGCCAGGCGCGTCGCAGCGTAACAGTGTTTCGTGAGATATCGCGAAGCCTGTTACGTGAGACGTGGTCTGGCGTACAGCTACCTAGTTTCGTATCACTTAAGGAAAACAGGTGTCAGTAGCATATAAAGGTGTTTATTTATGCATCAGACAAGGGGTTAAAAAAATCATGATGGATTGAGTGTTCGACCTATTTCGCATTGATTTCGGGGGCACGTGTACGGACTATTTCGCAAGTGTTTTTTCTTCGGTTCAAGCCGATAAAACCTTGTTTCTTAATGTTGTTTTATTTATTTAAGATTAGACTTGGTTTTAAGGTGAGGTAACATCTGCTAAAAAAATACAGGCAACAAAAGGTCGTGAAGTAATACTAACGGTTGAAGCGAGATCCTGAATGGCGCATCGCTTTGCACTCGTCGAGATGAAACGGGCTTTGCTCACAGCCAGTGCTGCAGAGAGGCCCATTGCAACCTGCACACAGCCTGCGCCTGGACTCAGCGACGACAATGCAGCAGCCGAGGCATGTCACGCAACCATCCTGAGCGGCAAAAATATAAAACAATTACACCGAGGGACCACCTCAACAGGAATCACGTGAGCACTGCCCCTGAAATCCTTCCGAAATCATTTGAGATCCACCTGCAAACATAAAATCACATGTACTCTGCCAAAGTCACCCAGAAAAATTATTAGCAATAGCAACTATCTTATTGGCTTAGCGAAGCCTATACTCCATTGACCAAAAAATGTTTTATTCTGTTGGTTTGTTGTTTGATTGTTTGCACGATAACTCGAGAAGGAACATCCAAAATAAAGATTTCTTCAATCAAACCAAATTGGCCTGAAATAAGGAAATTTAGACCTCGGCTGTACCAAACCCAAAAAAGCATCCGTTCAAGAATAACCTAGGCTTCATTTGGTTGGATTGGATCAAAACGAACACTGCTTGATTCAAGGCAAATTACTGTATATCTCAAGCCAAGAAAGAACATTCTTATTTCTAGAAATTTGGCTTGATTCTTGAATACATTAAACTCTATCCAAAAATTTACTTTGTACGTTCGGGCGACAGAGTTGCGCTTCGTTTTCCCCAGACCAGATTTTTTCCAAGAATACTTAGGCATTGGCAAGACATACTTAATAGAGTGTACTCCGGGGCTCAGCTAGACCCGAGGGGTCGCCGACTCGCCTGAGCCCTGTACCCAGTACTATATATTTTAGGTATTATAGAAGTATTATAGAATATTATAGGTATTATAGAGTATTATAAGTATTATAGGCTATTGCAGAATATTATTATAAATATAACGGTATTACAGCTATTATTATAGGGTATTATTAGTTACTATACAGGGTGACAGGTAATTTCTGGAAGCTGGAAGTTCCACTGACACACTCAAAGTGCTCTCAATTACTTAATATTCACATAGTTGACAACTTCATCCCTAGATTACAGTTGAGCCCCTAGTTTTAAGCATGTTGTTTCTTGTTAGTTTTTCGAGCCATAACGATTCAGTTGATAAAAACTGGTTAGGTGTTTTGTATATTGAAATGAATGTTTAGAGCTCTGTATCAACTCGGCTGATGGTCTTACATGGCTGGCATTGGGCGGTATTGAATCTGTAGACTTTCTAGATTCTGCCGGTGTATTTATATTTGCGCTGGGGCAATCCGGTCCTTTGGAAAATGAAAAGTTGCAACACCGCTTAACCGTTTGCTTAGTTGACTTATGTACTTTCCCCAGTCAGCTGCGACAGACAAACCTGATAATGGAAGGAATGCATATAAATTGTAAGTAATGGCTTAGTTAAGACTAAACAACGTTTTCTGAAAAATTGGTTGGTTATGCCCAGACCCCGGAACGCCCAGGCAGAAGACGTTTTGGGGCACTTCCGGGAGAACCCACACACAAGGAAGTAAAACCAATGCGTCGCCTAAACGTGTGTTCGTCTGTCATGTTGCCCCCAGGCACTAACGCAGTCAATGTTGACATCAGGTCAAAGACGAGCGACAGACGCCCTCGGAATGAGCAAGACCACCATCCAGCGGATCTTGGCCGATAAAAAGTTTCATCCGTTCAAATTGGTTCTCAATCGAGGGCTGCGTGCCGGGGACCCTACCAGGGGGATGGAATACTCTCAGTGGCTCGTTGACCGGAGCCCGAGGCATTTGCGGGGAGGGTCTTGTGGTCGGACGAGTGCAACTTTGACAACAATAAGGCAAATGTGAACAGCCACAACATGCACTACTGGTCGGATGTTAACCCACACTGGATGCGCACCGTCGATTTTCAGGGCCAGTACCAGTGGAGCATCAACTGTTGGGGAGGTGTTCTGGGCGAACAGGTCATCGGGCCCCACTTCTTTGACGGGAGGCTGAATGGTGCAGGATACCTCGCGTTTCTGCAGAACGACCTGCTCCCGATCTGCTCGCTGACGTCCCGCTCGCCCTCCGCCGTGACCACTGGTTCCAACAGGACGGCGCGCTGCCTCAATGGCTGCTGGCAGTTCGTGCTCACCTAAACCAGGTACGTTACGTTCCCAATCAAATAATCAAATCAACAATTTGATTTAGTTGCTGGTCGGTCATGTTTTTGTTTTCGCTTGCTTAGGTGTACCCTCAGCAGCGGTGGATTGGTCGCGACGGCCCTCCCGGGTGGAAGGGAATTAACTAAAAGTTAACTTTAAAGTATACATTTTCAGGTATACTAAAAAGTTAACTACGGAACTACACAGAGAGTGTAGTTTTAGTAAAGATTAAACTGCACATAGTTCTTTATTGGTCAGAATGCTTTCCAGTGAAGTTTCCGTGAACTTTGAATGTAGTTCGATGTTTACTTTTTAAAAAACTCTTTAAATGAAGATATCATGTACTTTGATGTTGACATTTAGTTATCTATGAGCACTTTAAATAGTTGACAACTATGTACTGTTTGGGGTGCAGTAAACTTAACATTTAACACACTTTCAAGAAATTTCTACGGTTAAAATAATAGTATAGTTTAAAATTTATCACTAAAAGTACTAAATGCATACATTTTATGCTCATTAAGTGATTTTTACAGTTGAATTTTTAGCTACCTGACCTGTTGTTACGTTTTGAAAACTATGCATACCCCTACCAGGTATTCCCGAACCCCATCCTAATTACGGGATGTGCCAAACAACCGCTAGCTGCGTGTTTGGGATCCCAAGGGGATTTCCCATCTCGATCAGTTCGCGCCCATGCCTAGCTTAGTGTGCAGTCTGGCCCTGACCTGGGTGACCACACGGTTCGTGTGTTGCAGTCGACAAACCCAACTTAACGTCGTTCTCAAAAGCACACAATCATGTGAAGGAGATAGAGGCAACACTTCAATGCATAACGAAATGCACGAATCTATGCTGAGCTCCCGAGAATATGCATTCCAATGGCGCGGTTTATAGAAACTACACCAAAACTACACCAAAAGTACACGTAAAGTACACTTAAAGTATACTGAGCCATAGACTACGGTTCAGCGGAGGCTCTGCCATATGCCCTGGCAGGAGACGCCCAACGGCTACGTCGGCTGATTAGCCGAGTGGTCTAATGTGTGTGTTCACAGGTCCAAGGTCCCAGGTTCAACTCCAGCCGGCAGCCGAGTACATAATCAAC